TTATTTTCAGTCCCTAATTATCAACCAGGTGTAGGTCAGGAGATACGGATCGAGGCAGCAACAAGGCGACAGCGTGGCGCGCAGAATGCCACTGCAGCCAGGGGTCAACACGGTTTCCACAAGTATGACCTCTCCTCCACCAACATCGTCGACTTACTCACTACCTACCTTCCATTGTTTTTCCCTTAACTCGAAGTCACTGGAAAGGAGATGTGACAAGTCAACGCCGCTCTTCGATATAACCATTCCCTTCTAACGGATTCTAAGGGATCGTACATAAGCCAAGTTGTTTCCGACCAACGTTAGGTTCCGTGGCGAGAAGAAGTCGTCCTGCCTTTGCAAGCTTTGTGACTTATTTAGTCTAGGCGTGGAGGTGAAATTCGTATTTCCTGATCACACGTAATCACTCTTCTTGAGCTCTGCACGAGAATAGACCCATTCTACCCCGCCAGGCAAGCCAAACTCCATCCACATTCTTCCTATAAGCGCAAGCTATTACCAGAGCGTCAACCGTCAGTGCCACCAGTGCCGCACATGCCCCGCTATGCACTCAAGCTCGAAGGCATTTTCGTACCAGAGAAGCCTCTCTTTTAAGAAGACAAAGTTGCTCGATGGCACTAACTCAAGATCCCTCCATGCCAATTAGCAATTAGCTCTTTCTCAATGGATCTACTACACAAAGATAAGCAATGCCAACCAAAACTAGGTTAGATGATTGTTACTGTTGTTATTAATGGGTGTGCCACATTTTTGTAAATGTCGAATTGAGAACTTGACTATTTTGTTGGCCTGGAAGCTTAGGAAATCAACGCCATCGCGTGCTTTCTGGCAGCGATAAACATCCGTACTTATAGTTGGGTATGATGTATACAAACAATCACTAAGAAGCCCCCATCCGAGAAAACGAAAGCGGGAGATGCGACACCATCTGGTACCGCGCCGTCCCTCGCAGCCTGCGCTGTCGTCGAGATGCAGCACTGAGAATGAATGAGCCCATGTTTCGATCGGGTTTCGTATCTCTAAAGGAGTTGCAAAATATTACTGTGTTCATGCAACGCCACGTTCGCTTCCTCCAATTGCAGCCTTCGATTGATTGATTGATAGAGTTTTCCATTCAATTTCTCCTCATCGATACCTTGCAGCTCGAAGTCGCTGTATACTTTCTGAAGACAAAGAAGTAATTTAGCTTTTGATATTTAAGAATCAAAGATTTGTCTTGAACGAACCTTCACAATAAAACTCAGGCATGTGAACTGATATGGGCTGAGTGACTGCTGCAGTCGCTCCGTCAACCATTCGTTGATCATTTTTACTTGGTTGGCGTACCAGTTCTGAAATTGACAATGTGTCCTACAGGTACAAACTCGAACAAGAAATATCAAAGTTTTTTTTCAAGCCTCAGAAGCTTTTCAAGCGCTTTTAATATCTTCAAGCATCAGTGCCTAGATCTCTCATGCAGTTCGCTTCACAATATCAATTCGTGTCTTTTTGAGCAATTAATTTTGGAGATTTTAGGACTTAGCCCCAAATGCGTTCCTAGTCTTCGAAAAACTTATAGGCACATTTCGGTCAGCGCGTTAACCACTGGTAGTCCGCTTCTGCCTACCATACCAAACAAAAGCCAATGCCACATAACTTGGATGATGCTCGAGCGTTCCTCTCCTATTTTAAGTTTACCTTATGGCTATAGGAGAGCTTGAATAATCTTTTACCTCGAACAACGTGTTCACCCAGACTTCATCCGTGACAATCTGCCGCAGTTGTTCCGTACAGCCTCGCATAAACGTCACGTATGAGTTGCCCATGTGACCAGTCGATTGTTGTTGCGTGACTGGCGTTTTCTGGAACACAGCAATACTTCGTGGTTTGAGATGTCAGAAATTTCAGAGGAAGTTGTAGCTTTTCTTAAACTTTTGTAATTCCAGTTTTTTTTTCAGTTTTGTATACTTTTTATCCCCCCTCCCTGCCCTACCCGTACCCCCGCGAGTCGACTTGCTATTGAAGACGAGGTAGGTCTTAGGTAAGAGTAGCTATTGGCTACCAGTGCTTAGCAAGAAGCAAATAAGAAAGGATCAGGAAGAGGCCACTTCACTCTTGAGTGAGAGTTGTCCTTGTTCTCTTCTAAACTACGAGAAGTACTTTAGAATAGAACAAGTATGGGATGAAAAGAAAGTTGCCTCAGGGCCATATAAATGACCGGTCTGAAACCCTCCCGCCCAAGTTCATCCCCTCAGCTGAAGATCCCTGCCTATTAAGAATATCTGATTCCTTTTCATTCATTTCAAACCTTTGGAGGAACACTGATTCCATCATCAACTTTTCTATGGGACCGAAAAGTATGACAGGCGATTCAGTGAGAAGCTCATTTCGACTTTGGGTCAAAGTCGGCACTGTGAAAACATTTCTATCTTTTCAAGTTGGGGTCAACCCTTCTTCTGCCCGAATCAGGCATAATAGGTCGCATTTTGAGATTTCGAAGAGGAGGTCATAATTGTCCGAATTAGTTAGTGTCCATAAAAGCTGCAGGAGCTTCATGAAATTGATGGAATGAGCTCGTTGGTAGCGCGATTTACCTGAAAGCTCTGAAGAAGATTAGTCGCGTTGCCAAATAGCTACTAATCCTGTGAACAGCCTCAACCACTGGGGATTTATGTAGTCAAGCAGTCTCAGCTAACAGAGACTATTATGGAAGGATCGACATCCGGCATTCTCTATTTTGATGCGCCACGTATTCTACTGGTTCAGAATCGTAGTGGCATTTGAATGCGGTATGGCCTATACATGTGACCTCCGAGGTCAGCCGATGTACCCAAAGTTTCTCTCCTTCAAGACAAGTCTGATTCCAGTTACCAACCCGGGAGGTATGGAAGGCTTACTCGGCAAGACTCAAACCTAGATTTGAGCCAAGGAACGCGCACGTGGGAAGTAGCGCCATTTGCCTCAACGCCATTTCCGCCAACGGAAACTATTACAACATAGTGTTATAGAAAATGCTGATAAGCATCTTACCGTATTCTGGGGTGTAGTTGGCGTGGCTGCAGCAGTGCCGCTGATGTTGATCCCTTGTTCACCGACCATCGTCTTCATTTTGTTGAATATTGATGTCGGCTTAGGCTGGAAACCAGATTGAAGACATAGCCACGGGGGATAGCTTATTTCACTCAATGAATTGTTTTCTCCTCACCGCCATACTAAGAAGAGCTCCGATAGGGTTGCCTTCGTCGTATCGAGCAAGTTTGCCCAGAACGAACTCCAGTACCCCAATCAGTCGGTCTTGGATACACGTCTCCATGTCCGAGAGCATTGTGTCTAATGTCTCATCCAATTTCGATTGATATTTGAACTGTAAATATACCTTTTTGCTTTTTGATTTGCAATTTGCTATACATATAAGACCTCCCACAAAGAGACCAGTCAAGAACACTCCACAGTAAAACTTAATTTATAAAAACTCCTGCTTCAAGTGTGACCAAAAAATTTTCGATTCGCATAGCAATTGATTTGACCCTCTCAATGCCATTGCCAACCTTAGATTGGGAGAACCCGACGTTACTTAAAGAAAAGACTTAAAGAAGCTAATTCCCGTTGCGCTCAAAGGCAATGAATACAATTTCTGGACGTGGAGCGGTTTCGATAGCGTCATTCGACGTCCTCGCGAACCGACTCCTCAATGCGACAACGGTTTGGTTGAGACCATCTCAAGGGGTTCGTCCACCAAAGACACAAAATGACGTCATTAAACGTACTAATCCCTCCACCCGTTCTGTCCAATGGCCCTACCCACTTGCTAAGAGTTCCCTTGCTTTTTGTAGCATTAAATTCACAAGAAAAATACAAAAGGAGCCCCGAACTCCGCGTAATTGCCAGTAGGGCCGATGACCTAACTTTTGGTGGTAAAGGTTCTACGAACAGAATAACGGAATACCTCTCCAGCATCCACAGACATCCTTGTTGCTCTGGTTTTAGAGCTGAATATGACGTTAATCATGACGCATACTTCAGATGGTAAGATGTAATCGGTGGACTTTCGAGCGCGCTGCATCCACGAATCGAATTGTTGGTACGTGCTGAAATGTAATGTGTGCAAATATTACATATTTGACCAGTTGAAATAGAGTATGTAAGTCAAGCTTAACACGTTGACGACAGCATGACGCGCATGCGCGTCAGATTTTCACCCGGATGGGGCTCGTTTTGATCGGTTTATTTGGCATTTTTCATATTTCAAAACTGTCTGGATGCATCATCTTATCCGGAAAACTGTGCACAATTACCAGTGGTGGAATTGTTGAAGGAGTAATGTCTATTTTGAAAATAATAAACAAAAAGTTGTCGAGATGCGCGCACAACGGGCTGTCGTCAACGTGTTAAAGGACGAATTCACGCTGGAAAGGCAACCCATTTCAAATTAACTTAGCGATGGTGAGTGGTACACTAAAGAAGGAAAAACCATGAGAAACGGCCCAGAACCCGAGAAATGGGACCCCTTCCTTGCCCGTTGATTTGAGCATTGATGCGACTATCATCGCTGTGCCCTCTTCAACGCTACGCTCTCTCACCTATCTAATCACTCACCACGTATAGACCTGCGGCGAGTGATCAGATGATCGGTGGGCGTGCACTGACCAGCCGCGGCGGGATTAAACCTTAATAGGTCAACGAGGTCAACTCCTCCTGTGCAAATTGTGCTTCAGTTCGCACACTTAGGAGCTCCGCGGGTCCCTCAACCAGGTGAATTCTTCCTAATTCGATTTTCCCTCTGATCGTGAATTCGTCCTTTAAAGAGGTCAAGAGCGTAATGGCTGGAGGCGTCATGTCATGTTCCTGCCAGGGGTCGTGATCGAATTGGCATGTTATTTTGTTGAAATGAGACAAGAACGCAAAGAGGAACCTGAGTGAAACAAGGGCAAAAACTATCTCTGAAAACAATGAATTTTGCTTATTAGGTCGACTTTGGTACAATGAATATTAATTCTCTCTCGCTGACCTGCTTGCCACTTTTGAGATCATGTCCGACGTCAAGCTCTTCATTCTCACAGTCAAATATTTACGGAATTCCTCTTCAGGCCAGTTCAAATCCACGATGAAAGTGTGGAGAGCGTCCAACTTCCAATAGATGTCCTCAGAAGTGGCACAACCCTCTCTGAAAACTCACAAATGAAGGAAAACTTCAAACAGCTACGGTAACAATTTGTAATCGCATAATTTATCAAGTTCATAGAAGCCTTAGTAAACGTGGCGACTTACTTCCTAGGCTCCCATTTTTCCTTAGAGAATCCCTTATCGATTGATTGTGATATGGAGTGTTCCATCAGGTCCGTATAACGAACCACCAACGGTTGAAATTGACTGGTGATCTTTTTATGGAAAATCCCTCCATTCAGCGATTCTGAAAGAAATTGTGCTATCAGATCGCTTCCCAATAAACATCGCACATTGGAAATTATTTGGCAATTGTCCAATTTGTTTCAATTTTAATATCTCACTTTCACTGAGCAAGAAATCGTTGAGCGTTTGGAAGAGTGGAAAAGAATCCCACGAATCCGGCGGTTGAACTTCCATGGCCGAGTCGAGGTCGACTGAGTACAATGACCAGAAGATTTCCGAGTGATCAGCTAACAAATCAGAAAACCATGCGAAGGCCTAAATTGAAATCTATTCGTAAGTGGAGGAGATTGTGAATCTACTCTCACAGCACAGTCAAATTTCCATAGTTGAGCGTTTGTCAAAAAATGCAGTGAGGGGGGGGGGAGAGAAGGAGGAACCCACTCTAAGAGAGCAAATTCTTCACATCTCCATTCATTTCTTCACTTTTTTGATAAGACTTTAAACGAATCTTCCCAATTCAGAAAAGAACCCCCCATCTGACACACGACCCCTCCAGCCTTGACCGACGTGACAGGAGCCGCTAAGAATGAACCCCAGACTCACGAATACAATCCCCTTACAAATGGTCCGATAAAGTCCCTTGCTTTCAACGCTCTTCCACCAGAGGCATCCAAATTAGCTCCTTTTTCGAGCCATCATAATCGCTGAATTCAGTGGAGTGTTGAACTTTGATAGCGCCTGATTTACAACTGCGGACAGACACTTAATAATGGAATTTTGACTGTACATAATCCTATGAATCACACATGGCTGACTGGGTGTTCAGGAGTGATGCAGCAAGGAAACACGAAACACAGCAGCAACCTATCGTTTCAAAGAAACACAGACGATTGATTTGAATGGTGGACGATCCTTTTGAAGCGATCAGTGCATAATTTTTATTAAAGGCGTTTTCAAAGAAAATGACGTAGCTTCAAAAAAA